GGTCAAGACTACATGTCCAAATGAGGGGCATGGGTAAGGAGAGTGCAAGCGTGATTAAAACTTGCAAGAGAGCTGCTTCTGTTTCGGTTTGAAACTTGAGCCTGTGTTTTGCCCAGAATCGCACAAAGGAGAGCTAGAGTTAACGTATTTCAGATCCTCGAAATGAGGACAATACCCACAGCTCTTGTCCACTCACCGGTGGTGGTGGATAGTGGGGGAAAAAAACATGATCATAAAGGGCACTATTTTCCATTAGCCCAGACCTGCGAAAGACATACCACTGCATTACAAAATCTGCCTTTTCAGCACCGACAAAATAAGCCCCTCTTGCCATCAACACTGAAGCAGAGCTAGAGGATCTGATTCTGTCATTGTTAGCATCATTAAGTAATTAGCTTGAACTGATGGAGATAATTGCGTGCAGGTGCAACTGGAAATGAGAACCTTAGACAGCCCGAAAGGGAGCTTCCTGAGCTCCTCAGCCTGTATTCTGTATGTTTAGGAAATAAATCACAGCCTCGTTCATCGTGAGACAGGAATCTCCTCTCTTTGTTTGCATGCATATAACATTCACAATTTTAAAACAAACTCCCGTTATTTCAAATTATTATACAAATAATTACCTCTTATACGGTGTATATTTGCGCTTCTTTCTGAGTGGATTCTGAGCCTGTAACTCTCTAAATCCTGGATTAAATGAAAACTTTAACTGCACTACCAACTGCAAACTCACAGGTGTCTCTCCATTAAGGAGATACCAATAGCCCTGGGCATACAGAAGTATAGCACCAGGTAACAGACTAAGAGTTCGTAAGAGACATGTAACATAAAGCTTTAAGTTCATCTGGATCTGAGTCGTGCGAAGAGCTCAATGCAATAGCACAGAAACAGGACATTATTGACATTTTTTTTTGTCTCATGACAGATAATTCTAACACTCACAGGCCAGAATATTTGAAGTCTCCTGTCAAATGAACAGAAATTCTCAGTGGCTGGTAATGTATGGTTGGCTCAATAAGCAAGAGACAGATTTCTATGACTTCTCTTGGCCAGAACAACCCGCCTGATCAAAACCGTGCTGTAAACCACTACAACCAGTAGGAGTAACCAGCAGTTAAAATCTCTCTTCATGACAAACACAAGTAAAGGTGATTCTGTTGTAAGAAAGAGATGGGATAGGGCTCCAGATCTTTCAAAATCATGTGGCATATGATCCACATTCCTTTCTAGCTGTTCTTGAGGCTTGTAAGATCCAAAATATTAGATAAGATAAGATCAATTTATTGGCCATATGGAATTTCTTGTATTAGGATTTTTTTTTTCCACATACTGTACCCCAGCTTGCTCTCCATGAGACACAGGCAGGGAAAGAAGCTTGGGGTCAGAGCGCAGGGTCACCTGTTTATACAGCGCCCCTGAAGCAGCTGGGGTTAAGGGCCTTGCTCAGGGGCCCAAGGGAGTAGGATTCCCCTGCCGGCCACAGGATGCGAACCGGCAACCTCCCAGCCACAGGCGCGGATCCTGAGCCAAAGTTCCATCTCACTGCCCCATGATGTTGTTCATGTTAGTGCCTAAAATTTTGACCAATTGAGTCTGTGGCGGAAATAGTAAGGCAGATGTGAGTCTGTGTTTGGGCTCCACATTCTGAACAAGTAACAGTGGATCTGACTTTAAATACCGATGCCATCATCTTTGGAAAAGAAAGACTGTGAAAGCTTCTTGGACAGAGCTGCTTAATGAACAAAAGAAAAATATGTTAAGTGAATTAATAAAATGAAGATAAAATACAAGCCAGTAAGACAGGATTGAATGTGGGGAACAATTAATTAAAATGTCTTAAAATGAATGCAAGATGGATGAAGTAACACGTAAATGTTCTTTTGTTTTGTTTAAGCAAAAATTAAATATGTTCTTCCCTTTGTTTCTAAAGAGTGCAAAGTACTAAGAAAGTAGTACTAAGAAAAACGCTTTGCTTGCAAACCTTAAAAAACAGCAACAAAGACAAAACAGTTCTATTAACCGAATTCTATCTTTAAAATCGCACACCCTAAAATCGTTTTAATTCCCGATAAATAATCTTTTACTTTGCAATGCCACTGCAGGCACTGACACTCACTTCACTTGCAATTCTTGGGAAAAAAAAAAGAGAAAAGAAACGTTTTCTTGAAAACATAATGAAACACACAATAACATCAGCAGTCATGCCGTTTGTAGCAAAGTTACCAAATAACACTCCAATTTAATTTCGAGAAGGGATTACTTTAGCTGAGGTGTACAGTTTGTTCTCTTCAGCCTCAGCACTTTTACTTTGTCATTCCTTGGCAAAGACAGGTTATCTGCAGGAGGGGACTGAACATCAGGGATCCATGAACTTTTCTGATGCAATCTTTGTAGTGGTCTGTCGGACCTTTCTTTTTCTGTGCGGTATATTGACAGAATTTCAATAATAGAAGTATCATTCCAGAGGGAGCTGGCATTGAAACATTAAATATACCCCTTAATATAACCTCTTGGGGAACAATAGTGAAAGAGAGTGCTAAAAATAATACCCACTGACTGTTTAAATGGAACCCACAATTAAGGCAGCAAAGAATGTATTCTTTTCACTTGGCTTGATTTGTACTGCATTTCATGTTTAGGAAAAGAAATCTCTGTTTTAAGAAAAGAAATGTAACCAAGTAAAACCAAGTGTCTACAACCTTTTTGTTTAAAGCAAAAAAAAAGGCCCTATTAATGTTTTCCCAGACTCAATTTCTCTGTTCAGGCATTTGAGCTAAAAGCTGGGAAATCTGGGTTTAGCTCAGAATGCCCCTGACAGGAACCCAGATCTCACAAAAGATCAGATATCAAACAAGTTTGGGTATAACACTTACATGGAACAGAAAATCTTCAAGGAGAACGTTTTTGTCTATAATGTTCTGATAATAGAACTCTAAATCTGCCCACTGGAGTGTATGTCAGACAATTTAATGTTCTGACTAAATTAAAGCAGATGAATTCTATGGTATTAGTATGCACCTGACTGTAAAGCTATTCATTACATTCACCTGGATAAAAGCACTGTTTTATCGCAAGGCCGGACACCAAATGAAAGAAATGCACTGATGCTAACTGTACTGTACACTGTATACTGTAGCTTCTATCTTCTCAGAGGGTAACTAAAACAGCTTCCCATACTGCACCAACAGAAAAGGTGATCCTCTGTAGAAACATGATTTTTAAAAATCACTCTTGAGGCCAAATCACTAAAGGAGTGAAGTATAGAGTTTATCAACAGTAGTGACCCACTCATGATTTGAACCCACAACCTCCCTGTTATCAGCTCTAACCACCAATCTACACAATTGCTACAGTAGGTCTTGAGCTTCGAAAGCTTGAAAAACACCACAATCCAAGGTAAACTATTCATAACATCACAATATGAAAGCTTGCAGTAGCTAATATATTAGATTAATCAATTAGATCTCTTTGACTCAGTGTCAGGTCTTCCCCCTTATTAACATAATTTATTTCTGCAAACCCATCCAGATAAAAGTCTATGTTTTCAACTGCAAAATAAAGATCTATCAGCGCTACTGTATTTGTTAGCTCAAAACAAAATGGCCAAAATTTCAGGACATGATCTCTGTAGAAGGGAAAACATTGAGGGAAAAAAGTAAAGCACTGCAATGTCTTTTGCATAGCAGTGCATATTGTAGGGCACTACAATATGTAGGGGATCTACAGTACTGTACATGCATATTTTGGATAAAAGAAATAAAAATTAGATGTGGTCTGCAGTCCTGTTGTATACTATACACACACAGAACAGTGAGAATTATTTTAAAATAATGAAGGATATCCCATACAAATAATAAGTTCCTAAAAATAAAATAAAGAGAGAAGAGGCTACGATACTGTAGGTTAAAGCCTGTGTCCTGGGGAATCCACTACTCTGCTATCCCATACCCCTCAAAGATACTTTGTACTGCTTCAGTTTATACCAATAGCACTGGAATCTGTCAATTATCGGCTTGTTGAGGCTTAGAATTCAAGAGCACCAAGGGAACTACCTTGGGATGCAGCCACAATAATTGCAAAGTGAAAACTCTGAAACTGCCCAAGGTCTTGGGGACTGGACTGCAGGCTTGAGAGTGCACTGTCCCTTCATTTGTGTGGTTGATCCTGACTGGATACTGCAGCTTACACAAAACACAAAACACACTATACTGTACGTTTCCAGGGAGAAGACAAACATGCCGAGGATGGGGGGCTGTAGGGACCGCCAGCATTTGAAAAGGGGGCTCAGCCAAAACTGAATCCGTGCCGCACAAAACTCCCTCACCTGCCAACGTCCTTCCAGTAGGATCATGAGCGAAATTGATAGAGGTGGACTTTATCAGCTTCTGGACATGCACGTCCCAGAGAACACCTGGTGTGTGATGCAGATGTAGCATAGACATAGGCACTAACTGAACAGGAGTCAGCCTGAACTGCAATAACTACTTTTCTGTCAAATTGCTGCTTAATGCTCAGCTTTTTTCCCCCATATTCCTGGGTAGACCATTCCCCATTCGAATGCCAGTGGTAAAATTGTCAATCGTTTCAGATACAGGTTGTTTCAAATCAACATAGCGAATCTGTTACACTGTAATAGAAATGGAAAATAACCTCAAAGCGAATCTAAGAAAGCTTCACAAGGATAGCGACCAACCTCAGAGAAAAAAACAGCTCAATAAAGATAACTCTCCATGTTCTCCTCATCGAACAAAACAGGTGCTAAAAGGAGCACACCAGCTGGCAGAGGAGTTTGACATGTCACAGCACGGTACTATACAAGCTTCTCAAAAAGACACGCTTTGAGGAGATTATTGTGCCCCAATGGATACAAGCAATTCTATGCTGGATGGCATGGAGGGCAAAGAAACTTGAACATTTCTCAAGGTTTCTGTGGTGCTGCGTCAGAATGATATCACTGATTCATTTAGAAAAAGGACACCCCTGTCGTGGCAGAAACTCACCTTCCTGTCAGGCCAGTTGTATTTGGCAAAAACAGCATCATATGTGTCCACAGCTCCGTCTGTGACCAACATAATAGCTTGACTGCAAATGCTTCCTCGACCAGTGTGATTGAACTGCAAAAAAATATTAATGGAACGTATGAGCGTATATTTTGCTTTTATGTGCAATGCTACTGTATTTCAGACTGTTGGATTATAGCTTACAGTACATTGAATGAACAGAGAACATGGATAAATGCAAGTTATATGAAAACCATTCAGAGAAGGTAGGATTTGTAATAATGATGCAAGAAATCCCTTTATATCCAATACAGACAGTAAATTTAAACTGAAGTCTTTAATTACCACAACAATCCCCCACAGACTAAACCAAAGTGAGTGCATTGTGAGCTCCGTTGACATTTTGAAGCCTTCCTAATCACTGTACCTATTAAAGCACATTAAAGGGAGGAGGCTCTTCTCATTATGTAAAATTTTCGTTAGGCCTAAGTTGGTGAGGAAAAAAAGAGATATTTTCTTTTTAAATAAACCTGCAAAAGTACAGTATATACAGTATTAAGGTGATCTCCTGAGATGCATTATAGTAATCAACAGATTCACTGACCTGTATCAAACTGAATGTTGAATGCATACTGTTTCCAAACATAATCACCTAAAGGTCTGATGCATATGTTAATGCTCACAAAGGGGAAGAACCACTACAAAACCATTTTTCCTAACAATCTGAGAGCAATTATTTGGATCTTTGGTAATCACTAATGAATGGATATGGTTTTCATAATAGTACATCTTATTTGGTGCTCCATGAAGTATAATATAGATTTCTTCCTGGTTGCTGGTCTGCAATATTTGAGTTTTTGTGAGCTTCTGATTCTGCAAACCCTGCTATACACACACAGCACTGAGAGCTTTATAAATAATATCCACAATGTGCAACAAATTCTAAAATATTTTAAAAGATGTGAATGATAAAGCACCGACTTTAAGTGCATACAAAAATGGTACCCTGGGGAACACACACCCTCACACAACATCAAGGCTCCATCAACATTATTGGGGTACACCAGAGATCATGCCGGGTGTTCCCATAAATTTGCAAGTGTAATACCTTCTATAGTGTACCTTTGCTTTCAGGAGAACGTGTAGATGTATCACATTATATTGCTTTACTGTGCACTTACTGGTCTGCTCAAGCAAAATACAATTGCTTGAGCAGACCAACTAATTTTCTAAGCCCCCAGTTTGTATGTTCATATATACCGTAATATATGAAAAAATGTAAGAATTGTGATGCATTTCGTCTGTGGGATTTGTTTGTTCCTTCACTGCTTTTTTTTTTAGTTTCACTGTATGATTCTGCATCTCTCAAATTAATATTCCAGGATGACTGTCCTGTTCCATAATGCTAATGATAAGAAAGTAATGATGTGTATGAAGTCTGGGATGCTGGTCTTCAGCTAAGTTTAACTCCTGGAAAAACCAATGAAATTACACTTTGGTTAATAAATCATTAGAACATAATCTACTGGTGTTAAAAAATGCTTAGTGGCAAATAGGCCATGATATATACAGTCCTTTTTTTATTAAGAAGCTGTGGCAATCAGAGGCTTTTCCAAACGATAACAAAGACAGAGATCTCCTGATGAACAATAATTAACTGATAATGACTGCTTTCTGTGCAACAGAAATTCTTCAGCCTTTTGCATTCCAAAGACTGGTGGCTTAAATGATTCAAATGATGTAAATGATTAAGGTTGAAAACAGTTCTTTGGTTTACTTTCCACAGAATACAGATAAAGTAAGTAAGTTATTCAAATACAGTTAAAGTTCCTGTTTTTTAGTGTGTTTAGTGTGTGTAAGGCCACTGTATTACTGTGATGTGTGGATTATAACCACATAAATCATAAAATTATAAAATAACTGGTTGTTTCACTTTATTTATAGCTGGAAGATGATATAAATAGTTTACCCTAAACCCATTTAGTGTGCATTCCAATTCTCCAGTGACATAATTTGGCATCCAGTATATTTATTGATTAATGGCATTCTTTTCATAACTTTCACCTCTAATGGAAGAAGAGATCTGCACTGAAATAGCAGTGTGCACTGTTTTCAGATCCCAAGTGCTATTTAAAATTGTAATGATTTCCAGATTTCCACCCAAAACTGAAACAGAATTGAAATGTGTTGTGTAAATTATGATGCAGAGCTCACTTAAAAAGCATTAATTATGGTTTAAAGGAACACATGCAAATGGAAAATAAACAGTAAATGCAGAAAACCCTTTTAAAATATTTGAGCTGTGTTATTTCTATTATAGAGGTTAGCCAACTAACAAAACTGATTAATTGCTCTGTATTACAACAGTTCTGACTAAATTTGTCAAAACAATACAGTATAATGTATACTACAGTACATATCATATTGGACGTGTACTGTATATACTGTATATACCACATGCATCCAAACCTAGCAAATTCTGTTCAAACTTACCTCACTAAGAAGTGTAAAGGCTTCAGTCAATGCAATATCTAGCATTCCAATCCCTTTTGCAAACAGTTTGTCGAGATGTTCTCGAAAATGCTGTGAAAGACAGATAAAAAACTTAGAAACTTTAAAAGAAAATTCATGTTAATAGCACATAAACCACCAAAATCCATGGCCCCAAAAGAATAAGAAAATTAAGTGTTAACATGGAAAATCATGATACAAAAAAACAACCGCATTGGTAATTTTAACAATCCCATGGAAGGATATTGATACATTGCGAATGACTAAAAGGCACATGCAGAGATGCAGATAGTGAATAAAAGATCACAAGTGAAAGTCGGTTTTCCATTCTATTTTTCAAGTGAATTGAACTAAAAACAATTCAAACTTCAGGCATTTTCAAAGCATATGTTTTCTTTAAACACGTAACCTTGCTTTCTAAAGCAATTAATGTAGCTTAATGTTCATGGTGACCCAGTAGGTCTCAACCATGCTGCTCATTATTCAGAATTGCCAAAAGGCAAAACAGAATGCTGTTATCTAAATAAACCTGAAAGTCGTACAACATATTCTACTTTGAATGTTTGCGGAAAGAGCAAGCTATTTTGCAAAGTTCCCACTTTATAATTAAAATAACTTAGGGCATTTTGAATTGCATTTCAGGTTATTAACATTTTGCAAGGCAATGCATTTAAATTCCTTGCATGTCAACCTATAGTAAAAGATGAAATACACACCTATATGAAGCGCATAAAGAGATGGAGAAAAGGAGAAATGAAATATATACTAATGGAAAAAGAAACGCAACATTTTCTGGAATGAGAATACTATAGTTATAGCTTATATACTTTCACAAAAAGTTGTCAATTTGTTTTAAGCCCTGCTGTTGTCTCAGAACCCCTAGGGTCCTGGGTCCGATTGTCCCCAGGGGCACCTACTCTGGCTGCTCTGATTTCCTCCCACCTTCTCACGGGGATATTCTGGCTAGTTTAAGTTTAACTGGTGACTCTAAATTGCCACACTTTGTTAGTGCCCTTTGATGGACTAGTGTCCGAATCCAGGGATGTCATCCTGGCTGCAAAGTAATATTTTCTCCCTGAAACGGTCAAGAATCCTAACAGTTGGAAAAGGACAGCATTTTATACTATAAAGTAATCTAGAATGAACGATTTCCCATAACATCTGTAGGTAAGAGGTTAATTGTTTGGTACACAAGTGATTGCCGAAGGCTAAGACTGACTCGAACACAGCAGCTGATACAGTGCCAGGTCTCCTATAGCTGTGTCTGTCATTGATTGCTTGTGGGCCACATGTCTACATGCAGCTCCAAGGGGTAGTACCACATGAGCCTGCTTTTCCACCCATCTCAACATCCGTCTGCCCCTTTCCTACTGTGAGACCCAGAGCCTCCAGAGAGATTTCCGAGGAGAATTTCAGACCACATTTCCTTGTCAGCAACAGCAGAGTGAAAATGCCTTGCCTAAGGAAAAAGGAGTTCACCCTTGTGTTTCCGTGCTCAGCAGTAAAAAATAAGAAGGGTCAAAAGGAACTTATTTGACTGACGCTGGTCTGACAACAGAAGGAAAATTCAAATGATTATTCCGAAATAGAGTGTGTTTGTGTCTCAAAACATGAAGATGCTTATTAAAACTGACAGTCCCTTTGGAAATTAATCCTCCATTAAAAACAGCAGGATAAACAAAGGAACAGAGTCCTCTGCTTCAAGCTGTTTGAAATTCTGTTTCATCTTGCTGTTAGGCTGAGAAACAGTTTATGAGTCTCTTAGGATAAAGATCATTATGTTGATTTTCTGATGACAAGTTATGACTGGAACATTTGCATTGTTTCCTATGTAAACAATGCAATTCTAATGTGAGCAACAGAAATATAGATAGGACCCCAGTCAGTATGCAATCATTTTCTAAATGTCTGAATCTTTCTGAATTTTAAAATCTTGTGTCATTGTGCTGGCAAGGAGCGGTGGGGATTGGGGATTACTTTTAAGCAGTTTCTTTCTTTTTTCACTGGTTTAGGTGACAGAGCAATGAATTTTGTGAACTGGAAAAGTGTGTAAAAGTGTCACCATGGCGCAACAGCAGCTGGACAAAAAAATAACCTTGAGGCGAATCGCAGATATTCGAATGTATCTTACATTTTCCAACACATAGCGATAATGACACAACTTCAAGTCACAAAAGACCTTGGCATACATCTTGTCCTGGTTATGATGCAAACAGAAACAGCCCACAGGGCTAGCTTTGATACACTCAGCTTATTAAGTTTCTGCTAAAACTTTTAAAAACCATGATGTATATGCTGATATTCAGTGCAGTTGGCTGCGTGCACTGAATCTGTCATGATAGGCAATCTAAACAAATAGTTAATTTGTGTTTAGAAAATATGAGCATAAAGAACAAGTTAATAAATAGACATGCCTAATAATACAATGACTGAGCCATAATAATAAAATACTGAGCCACTTGAAGTATCATTCTCTGCGTGTTTCTCTTCATCTCCTGCCACTATTAACAATGGACACACCTGTCAAGGATGGCGTTAGGAGCACCTGGTCGAACCCTAGGCGGCGCTGAGACTGTAGGTACTGTAGGAGCTAGTGTTTGGCATCCAAATCCCAAAGGCAAAAGGCAAAAGTCGTAGTCGAGGTAGGAGAGCTAGGTCGGGGTATCACAAGAGTCAGGTCGAGAGTACCCACATCCAACACGAGAGACGAGATGAAGTCGAAGCGGGAGGAAAACAAGGTCGGGGAGCCAGAAATCAGGTCGAGAGTAGTTTACGCGCACAAGAGCAAGGGTTATTCTCACTAGTGAGCGGGGAACGAGTGGAGTGAGAGGGTATAAATGGGGAAGAGTGTGCGGAATGACAATTGAGGAATTGGTGCGCGGGTGTTGGAGGTGAGAGATGCTCGAAGGAATGCGGTTCGTGACAACACCTGTCTAAATGGAGTTTATAACAAACGTTCGGAAGGATGGTTAGGTCTTAATCTCGCCTTCTTCTGGATACTCTATAACTCACCTCCTGGGTTACCCTTTTCACATTCTTTTCTCGTGCCCCTCCTGCCACCCCATCTCTACCCTTGCAACAGCCCCTCAGCTCATTCGTGGCGAAAGTGAGGGGAGTTTCGGTCTGCCTCATTCTTACGGTGAGGTGCTGTCCCCTTGGTTAGGTGAGTTACACCAAATCTCTAATACACTTGTTCCTCTACTGCATTTATTTCTTATGGCTTCTTCTACCTGCTCAGTGCTGTCCTGGGACGCAAGATAATAATAATAATAATAATAATTGCTTACACTTATATAGCGCTTTTCTGCACACTCCACTCAAAGCTCTGTACAGGTAATGGGGACTCTCCTCCACCACCAGTCTGCAGCATCCACCTGGATGATGCAACGGCAGCTATACGCTCACCACACATCAGATATCAGTGGGGAGGAGAGCAGAGTGATGAAGCCAGTTCATAGATGAGGACTATTAGGAGGCATGATTGGTAAAGGCCAAAGGGAAATTTGGCCCGGACACGGGAGTAACACCCCTACTCTTTTCGAGAAAAACTTCCTGGGATTTTTAATGACCACAGAGAGTCAGGACCTCGGTTTTACATCTCATCCAAAGGATGGTGCCTTTTTACAGTATAGTGTCCCCATCACTCTACTGGGGTATTAGGACCCACACAGACTGCAGAGTGAGCACCCCCTACTGCCCCCTCCAGCAGCAACATTGGTTTTTCCCAGGAGGTCTCCTATCCAGGTACTAACCAGGCTCACACCTGCTGAGCTTCAGTACTGTAGGTTGCAATAGCTTTAAGTGTTTTGTCAGAGAAATTGTTTGTTTGTTTTTGTCAGTGCAAATGAAAAACTTATTTATAGCTGTAACCTATTATAAATGAGAGTGGCTTAAAAGATTTAAAGTATATATTTCAATAAAAGTACCAAAAATGTAGTCTCTAGCAGGCTAAGTCTACAAAAATGATCTCAAAGACCCTTTTTTGTGTTGCTGACAAATTGTAATCATGACTGCTTCTTGTGAGAGGTGAAGGTAACAAAAAGTAAATCATAAAGGTCAGGTTATCTGAATATGTTATGGTATGCTATTCTGCCATACAAATATCTGAAGTATGAGTTACACACCATTTGCTGAGGAAACAATTACAATTTTAAACATTAAACATAAAAGAAACCAGGCACCTGGTGTGTGGACCACTCTCATAGCTTCTCAAGTTGCTTTATGTTTATGTATTTAAATCACTGTATCAACATCTGAGATGTGTTATCACTAGGAATGACACAATTGTCTGCCTCCAGCCCACTCAATAAGCAAAGGTTGTTCTACAGAAACAACTGAATTAATGACACATTTTCCTCTACGTTCTGTGCTCCTTACCTCGAATCAATTCCTTGTGATAGGAATTGTCAAGTCTGATCAAAATAATATCATTCTGTGACCTCCAAAGCCACTCCATAGATTCTATTATCAGATTATGCCCAGACCTCTCAGCAAACTACAGCATATGGCAAAAACCTAAAATTCTAACTTAAATTGCTAATATTTACTTTGGTTGAAAAACAATTCTTACACACCTTATTGTAAAATCCCAGCAAAGCTGTTTATGTGCAATTCACCAAAAAACACAATAACGTTTTTGAAGGGATGTAGAGTGTATATAGGAACTATATACGTTTATTTATCTCTAATTAATAAATGAATAAATTGGGTCTAAATCCTTTACTGTATTATCAGTGCATCTGCTCTCCCTGTGCACAAACTCAGAATATCATGGCCTAGGGTAGCTATGTAGCTATGATCTGCCTCTTTAGCATTCTGCTCATGAACTAAAATGACTTCTGTGCTTCTCTTCATTTGCATTTTTGCTCATTTAAAATGGAACGTCAACTTTTTTTTCATTTGCTTTTCTTTCAATAATTACTTGTAAAATGTTAGTGACTATCAATGCTACCGGCAGAAATAAACTGTCTGACTACATTCCTATAGATAATACTCTCAGGCGTTTAACTCCTGCAGCATGTCTTATGTTTAATAAAGTTACATGTTGAATCATTTTAGATGAGTGGTGTACTGTACTGTATGTGTATATAATATACTTCAAAAAAATATTCTTAGCATTTGCAGTAGGCATTGCGTGGGCTTTTGGTGCTCCCTTTCATGAACAATGCATTTTATCTTTTGTGAATATTATGTTTTTACTATGCAGTTAAGTCTGGCACACGAAACATCTGGTTATATGATGAAATGTAATCAATTCCTCTTTAAGATCCACATGTACCATAGTGTTTAGTGTCCAAGCTCATGCACCCACAATCCAAATAGTTGCTCTGTGTTTTACATAAATATATGACACTGTTAATAATTGTATTTTGTCAGAGGAATGTGGTCAGAGTATGTATGTTAATGTTTGTTGTTGCAATTATCGCAATAAATATAAAAAACAATGATCAAATTACCAAATTTCCTATAGCCCTGACAAGTGAAAGAGTATGATATAACTGCATTTATTGTATACACATCTGTACATAGATTTACTGCAATAAAATGGTTTTCAATCCATAAATGAGTACTTCAAATAAACTGTAAGGTATTACTTCAAGGATGAACCTTTCCTGGGTTTATCGAGTAGACAATCTTAATGAAAACTCCTGCTACACACAATTTCTTCTGTGGTGTTTTCTATCCTGTCAGCCTGAACAGTTCAGACCTCACAGCAATAAGTCTGAAAAAACGAATACTTTTATTTAATTCAATTCTGCTTCAAGACCATTGTTTGGGGTTACACAAAAATTGGTATTATAAAGAAATGATGGAGTCCTATTTCAGATGCACTTTAACAATAGTGCCTACCTTTTGGACAAAAGGAACAATAGAGAGAAATGGCTTATGGAAATGGGAACTGACATACTGTAAGGTAAAATGCTTTTAACCTTAAAACCAAAAAGTCGACAAAAGCTCTAACTTTAAATACTTTAAATTTTAGTTAAAACACAGCGGGTGACATCATTACTAAAATGCTTTCTCTTTGCAAGTTGAAGAACAGGCGAAGCGGAGGTGACACTGTATCTGACACTCCCAAAGTGGGGGTGACACTGTATCAGACTCGCCCACAGTGGGGGTGACACTGTGTCAGACTCGCCCACAGACACTGTATCAGACTTGACCACAGTAGGGGTGACACTGTATCAGACTCACCAACAGAGTCGATGACACTATATCAGACTCACCCACAGAGGGGGTGACACTGTATCCGACTCGCCCACAGTGAGGGTGACACTGTATCAGACACTCCCACAATGAACATTTTACTGCAGACAGCACACTGAATAAGGACATCCAGAAAAGTTGAGGTCTGATATCAATCTGAATGTCCATTTGACCTTTTCAGAGCTGGGGGAAAATTTAGAAATATGCCCCCAAAATAAATCTTAAATCAATCAACCCATGATTAAGAACTCAGCTGAAGCAAAAACCAGCAGACACAGTGTTCCTTCAGAACCACGGCTGGGAACCACTGCTGTAGACACGCAAAGAGGCCCCTGTCTCTCCTGGAAGCACTGGGGGACTCACAAAAAACAAAACAGGCAAATGTCTCTGATAAATGCATGTTTCAAGAGAACTCATCTTATCTCCATTGGGCTTCAGCAGTGACATGAGCCGATTAACAATCTCACCCCTTGTGCGGGCTTTGAAAAAAACAAGTTGTTATAAATGTTGATTCCAGGCCTTTTAGAAAATGGTTGGATGCATTCATCGGATGCATGTGTTGTAAATCATAGTTGAATATGAAAATTGTAAGGTGATACACATAATCGATACTTTGTGCAAAGTAGAATCGAACAAATACATCAATATACACAATTTTAGGAGTATACGCAGCTGATCAGTTCTTATTACAAATCATCAGTAAAGTAATGGGCTGTCTTTATGTATTTGTGTTTAGAGACCTGGTTTTTGTTGTACTGTGCATACACATACCCTCTGCTTGGACATGTCATGAATATGAAAATACCATATTTGTACATGATATTCAACCATTTTTGCACAGGCTGAGCTTTATGGTCATGGGTTTCAGCCAGAATTCCCCAAATTCTAATCACAGCTGCTAACTGAGATGTGAAAAAAAGCTCACATACAGTTGGCTATTCCAGATGGATGTAACATAAAAAATGATTGAAGATTCTGAACGAAAGAAACCAAGTCTGGTCAGTACATATGGTAGCAGTATTAAAAAAGCCTGCCATGAAAACTTACATCTTTATTGGTTATGTCAGCTTGGACCAGTGTTCCATTTAGACACGGCTCAACGTAATGAAGTTCCTCGTTGTACTGCGGACGACAGAAAGAAACAGAATTTACCACGAAGTTAGAGAAACATCAGCTCACCATACAGTATGTTATTCTTAACAATAACATTCTGGAATTCAGTCATTCTGGCAGTATTTTACCCATCAACATTTAGCAACCACTTCCGTCTTATAAAATACAAAGATCTGAAAATAAATGTTATAAACTTAGTAAAAAAAATGTTTAAAAATGTTTAAAGAAATCGGAATATTAAGACGCAGTCACATTAATTGCAGTTTCATTGACTGTTTTCAACATTTGAAAGTAAAATAGAGTGTAAAGACGTTCTAATGATCTTCATCCGAAGACCTGCATCTTTTAAAGTTCTAGCGAGCCCTATACAATAAAAATTAAATAATATCGCTAGTATTATTTTTTAATTAAATACTATTACCTGGCTGTAGTGCAGAGTGGTAGAGTTCTGGATTCATAAGTGAAAGGTTGAAGGTTCAAATCCCTGCAAATTACTGGAGTGGCTATATACCATAAATGGTTATGCGCATTGCTGGGGTGACCATGTAATGGACTAGGGCTATAGTCACTGCTAAGTCATGAGTTTCTAACACTCGGCCCAATTTCTTTTAACAACTGGGGCGGGTGATTTTTGCACTTAAGTAATTTTTTAGATAATTTGAAATGGAAATTCCAATGCCTATAAGCTGTCAGTAATCTCGTTGATAATACCCAGTTTAATTGATCTAGTCTATTAACAGAATGAATCATTATTCATAGGTGTTCCAAGTCTTTCCCGACGGGCGATCCGAGGGTGACCTACAAGACCTGCTGGATTATGGATGTCCATGATCGGGAGATCAGGGAGTCATTCTCTCGGTCCGCTTATTATTATAAAACTCAGGATGAGCTCGGGAAGTGATAACTCTCCATCCTTCAGTACGGACTTTGCTGCTATGTTTACTTGGGAAAAAATCACAAACTTCTTACATACCGTACCATACTGTGTACAGACAATTTATGCACGTTTGGACTTTTGGCTGGATGAGCTTCACTCAGATTTCACCAGTAAAGTCTCCTACTGTATAAACGAGTACTCTACAGGTCGTTATTGGAAATACAAAAAATGTGTTTGCAGTTGACAGGATAATAAAGTTTTCAAAAAACCCGAGACCCACAAACACCTATCAATGTCTTCTAACCTCTGAAGGAGGTTGGCCCATTCAGGTTTCTTTAAGAATCCCAGGCTAAGATATAAAATTTAGCTTGAATTGAGCTCAACATGCCAACCTCTTCATCACATCACCAAACCTAAGCAACCACTGGCCTTGTAATTAGGTCAATGGCTAAAGACACAGAGATGCGTCACAGACAACGAGGTTTGTGAGTGGTAAACATGGCATACAGCTTCTTCAAAGAGACGAACACTTAACTGTCATTTGCTTTTGGAATGGTGTCTTTGCCCGACTTAAGCCTGCTGCACTGGCCAGAGCACACCAGAAGTACGATAAGAAAAAACAAATTATTGCTGCTGAAATGAATTTGGCCTTCTCTCGGGAGAGCGCTAAGGGGGGCAGAGCAACTCTGTATCGAATTAAATACTTCTAACTTTTAATCAGATGCTCCTGAATTAGCGGGGATAATTAAAAATACAATGCCATACATTAATAAGAAGAAGCTCATAATGTGGCCGTGAATGGCAGAATAATGAAAATGACACAGTGAAGATATTTAGTTTGGCTTGCTATAAATGGGATCAATTCTTTTCATAATATTTATATAAATCAATAGAAACATCAGCAAATTTAACATAATTATTGGAACAGAGAACTATCACCTTCAACAGCCTAAACATTCATATATTTCATACAACATAATAAAAAAAATGCTAGTTACTGTAATCAAAATTGTTGAAAACTATTCAGTGGATGCATTAAATTAATTTAACAATTCCAACCTAGACAATAATTTTGTTCATTTTATGCATGGCTTACACCACTGTGCAAGTGGAGATTTCAGATTTGAGAGTTAAATAGAACCAGCAGCCTGCTTTTTTCAGATAATATTGTTAATTTAATGCATGACTAGGAATTATACTTCAAAGTAAATTAGAAAATGATGCCTATTTTCCCAAGCTATGCATTCTATCATAATCTCTCTGTAAATGATGGAAATGTACACTTTTGTGCAACTGTGGACACAACATTCATATAATTAAAACATACACTTCTAATGCCAGAATGAGAAAATACACTTGGCCTTCTTGTTTTCTTTTCACTATAATATCCTCTAAATTAACACGATATCTCTAAAACATACTAGTTACTACTGCTATAGAATTTGTAATTACTCATTTTTAGGGGTCATGGAAACATAGAGAGGGTCCTACCAAAGACAGGGCAGGCAGGGGGTGATTTTCTGTTGTGTTGTACTGTGCCGTTCTTTTGAGAAATTTCAGCTATAAAAACTTAATAAAAACTGCTTCACAAAAGATGAACCAGGTGAGATAGAAATAGATTACAGTTAAAAGGAACACCTTGTTTAGACGTGGGGAAATGTGGAATATGCATAAAACACAACACAAAAGAACAAATATACTTACAAGCATCCTGCAAGGGACAGGTTTCAGGTCTGTGGTGCGTGTTTTTAAAGAGCATGCAGACACTATGAATTATGGGAATGGAATATCAATTAGGTGTTGCCATTTAACAATGCGAATGTTGCAGAAACCATTCAAAGCAAGAGTCTCTGACTGTGGTCACCCTAAATCACCAGCTATTTAAAGATTAAGAACACTTGTCTAAACGATCCATCAATTAAGCAAATAATGTTTCAATGAAGGGAACACTGGTCCCAGTGGCCTGAAGGACACCCTTATTTTTGTTCCAAATGATCAATAAATATAAATAAACCTGTTTAATTGATCATAGTTAAATTTTGTCAGGTTTTCATAAACTGGCGAGGCTTTAGAAATGATGACTTGAAAGGCTACATACAGTACAATATACAGTATGCTGGACTAGAGGTCTCAAGGACCAGGACTGGAGAATGCAAAGTGATTGCTCACAGAGGGTGGAATCAGAAGTCTCTTAAACCATTCCACCCCCCACCCCATTGCTATGATAAATTACTAAAAATACTTAGATATCTTTCCAGTGTTAACTACCGCCTGTTCACAATGTAAAATAAATAGAAAATACCTAAAAAAAACAGCAGTCACTGAACTCAACTCGCACCATGTCTCCTTATTTAAATTGAGATGGAAAAAAAGTATAAAGTAAAAGAATTGAGAGCTTGACATGCAGTTGAAATGTCAGTACCGATCCACTTGGGGGCGGTGATGGGCTTGACAGGATAATGGAGGTGGCCCGACTGGGACCGATCCACTTCATGTTTCGTGATCATTCATTCATGATCTCCAAGGTTGCCTTTACACTTTTTCATATCACCGTCATCGTGCCCTGTCATGTGTTCTATGCAATCAGGGTGTGAGGCATCATCGTCTCCTCTGCTTTCTTGGCTGATTCCCTGGCATATTTTCCGCAGTTTTTTTACTTGGGTTCGGGGGGGCAGAGGGTGCCTTGTGGAGGCAGGAAGAAAAGTGTCTGCTTCTCCTCACCTCCTCTTGGCATTGCCACTGTGAATGGGCCACTTTTCTGGAGCAACAGCAGAAGCCCACTGCCTCTGCAGCATGGATTCTGGAACAGTGACTATCTGGGGAGTTCATGTTGAACGAATAAGGCCAGACAGTGTTTTACACTGTTCAATAAAGCAAACAATGTCCCGTGTTTTATTATTATTTCAATTTTTTTTTTGCTAAAAAGGTTGCGAGTCACCTCACCTCATTTCCCGTACTGCAAAACTACTGTTCGTTTTCTTTATCTAGTTATTCCCAGATAAATACACAGACTTTTACACTGTGGTCAAGGAGGTACCTCCAGGGAAGACGCCAGGCTAATATTGTCAATGCTTCCCTGACAGGAAATGGGAAGGAGCCTCCACGGCCGAAACGTTGTATTTTCTTTCTTCTCCTTTCAGCAGGGAATAAACCTATTACTTGGTCCTTTGCAGCCTACGCATGCTGACGCAGCCACCCACCTGAACTACTTCAATCTGTCAAGTAGTCTTATACCCTGTGTGCCTAGCTGAACTTCCAGCAGCTTGCACTGAGTAGGGGGAATTACCCAAGAAGGACACTGGCTCAGACACCAGATTTACCATATAAACCACACTTTCATAATGAAGCAGTGACTCCAGCAGAGGATTACTGTTGACTGAAGGTTCATTCAAGCACATTGCATTTTTCACCATCCAGCATTTTAACACTGCCCTCCAGAAATACAAAATTGGTATATTAACCAACTTGGCTGAGGGAAATTTCATCCCTCTGCAGAGCAACATAATTTTTTTTTTTATGTGATGTTGACAAAAAAAAATAGCGACTGCTCTGTGGGAGTCTGCGGAATTAAAGTTGAAGAAAACTGTAAAGTGTTCAACAATCTCAGCAGGAATTACCACACAACTTAGATTGAATTTATTGGGCTAGAAAATTATAGGCCATGAACTTGGGAAGTAAAAAAAAAATCCAGGAAAGGTAAGAAACAGCATAATACTCACTGCAATTATATTGAAAAAATCATCATCTCCAAGTGTGTCCAAAATTGAGGAAACAGTTTGACGGGCTATTGTTAATCGTAGTCCTTTCATACTGCCACTAACGTCAACCAGAATTACCACATCCTTTGGTGAGGTGGCTGCCTGAATGTACCTTCACAAAAAAATACACTTATGTTAGTTTTTGTGTGCACGTTCCCTTTTAATTCTACATGCACAAAAATAAAAAAAAATAAAAACACCTTACCATTTTCGATTCCTGCAGTCAAAAGCAATAACCCCATGCTCATCTGGGTTCCATTTTATACCTGCACACAACGTGACAACCACAACGTTATAAATCAGGAGCCAAAAGAGAGCTGTACTCTCTTAACACCAAATTAGTGATAATTCCGTTTTCTGGGTTCTACAGATCATTAAGTCAGATTTATAACCTTCTTGGATAAAAAAAGAGCGCAGAAGGTATCTTATCTTATAGCGGTAATATTCAACATTATTTCTAATTGTTTTTTATGGCAGAACATTGAAAATGTAATACCTGGGAATACAATAAGTGGGAGAAAATGAAGAAAAACACACTTCTAATAAATTAATAATTACTTTAAAATATTTAAAATTCATTCAAAATGTCCCTTTCTATATAAAAAAACATTATGTGATTTCAAATTTTTCAGCAAACAATTGTTTCTCTCATAAAAGGACCAATAAATATGAACACATTTTGTAAAAATAATTTTATGTTATTATCTGTTGTGCTGACCACACTCCACTCCAATATATACAAAGCTTTTCTGCTTATTTAAATTTGGTCACTGAACATGAGACAGAAGAGTCAGTTCTTTATACAGTATGGCCACCACTGTATTCCATGAATAATTTGCCATGGTCCTGTGCTCATTTGAAGTGAACCCTCTAATTTTCCTTCTCCGAGATCTGAAGTCTTCTCTGATTGTCTTCTTGTCACTCACTCTTACTAAAGTGCTCTCAGCTTATCTCTTAAAAACCCTTTGGGAGATGTCTCACAACCTAGCTAATTATAACCACACAGTATCTCAGGGCCCTGCTGTGCTCACCAGAGATGCAAGACATATACAGTACCTGGATACTGCCTGAAGAATCCCTTTGCACTCCCAAAGTATTGCCATATTAAAGATGGGTCACGTTCAAAGTTGTCTACAAATACTTTATTTAATGCTTCAGACCAGTACACCCCATTCACTATGGCAGAATCTGAAAAAAAAAGATGACAGACACTAACTTCAGCTGATGTCAATTCATTAACACAGTAACAATTTTCTAACAAAAATGCATTTTCTACTGTAGTTCTCACACTACTGTACCATGGTTTAATTGTACATGACCTTGAGCACAATCACATACAGTAAAACAGCCTTTGCTTCAAAGCCATCACAGTCATGCTGAATATGAAGAATTAGCACAATTGCACCACCCACTAACACATGTGGTGCGCCTTCAAACCTAGTTCATGTGTACACCACCAATTATAGACAGATTTACCACCACACCTATGGAGAGATTTCTAAAATCTAGTGTTCCGAAATTCATGCGCATTATTTTGAATGAAGGAATCCACGCTGTCAATGAAAATATTGCCTTATTTAAGTTTAAGATGAAATATATGTACAATACATTTATCTCATAGGAGACATAAAGTATTTGCTATTTTCTATCTTTTGCCAGTGGCTTCTTTTTTGTATTGTATATAGAATAAGTTGTTGCATAGGTGTGCACGTTTTTGGCTACCATGCTTTACAAGTTGTTAACAAGAAAACACAATGTACTTTTTCACTGTTAAGAACTGTTACAGAAAGAGCCATTATTTTGCAGAAAAACCTTTCACTATATTGTGTCTAAAAACACAAATATGTGAAGAATTCCTCTGCTCATATTGACAGTGCTCCATCAAACACAATGACAAGGTACTGTACAGCATGGTTTGAGACAGATTTTTTGTGTGTTTATATTCAAGCTGATCACTACAAAAGACTCTGACATCATTTTCACAAGCAATGTCATGTGCTTGTATAAGAGCATTAACTCTGTCAAGAAAAAACACTTTTATAGCAATACTTAAAAGCAGTTTTTTTCTGTATAGTTTGATGAATGCAGATAATAATCAAACGTTCTATGTGCCTTGAAAAATATATATTTGGTGTCTAGAGTCTGCTTCAAAAGATATTGAAATGTGATGAACCACATCCATTTTTGATTAGGTAGGTTTTTTCAATTTCCCAGTTAAAGGAGCTATGAATATCATTCGGTCAAAACATGCTATCAACTTCTTCCAAGAGCCTGTCAAGCCAAGATTATCTATTTTCAGCAATATTAGTGGCAGACCTGTTCATTCTCTGGTGTTAGAGTAGGACTGTCATCTGAAACGAATACATTCAAAAAGGAAAAGAATCTTATTTAGAAAATGATTACCTGATAATTGACTTGTTTTATATATATACTGTATATCCTATAAAAAGTTTTTTTAGACTCGGACAACATCAGACATTTTTCTGATGGATTTAAAAAGGAGGATTTAAAAACAAAACAAAAGAAAATGAAAGTTTCAAAAATTATCCTGTGACCCAATAACCGGTGAGCCATTTGTCTGCTCTTCCTTATTCTTGCTGTGGATTATAGGGGATTTCAGTCAGTTGCCAAGATGTAAAGAAATAACTGATGATTTCAGATTTGGTGCTGGTGCAAAAAAAAAAAGTTAAAAGCTGGTTCCAGTCTCAGGCATCTCTCTGTGTGGAGTCTGGATCTTCTCCCCTATGTTCACAAGAGTTTTCACCAGGTACTCTGGTTTCCTCCCACCTCCCAGTGGTATGCTGGGTTGGTCTGACAGTACTCCTTCTGTCTCCTCTCTCCTATGATGCCCGAGGAAAGAGTGCTCAGTCCCAATTGCTCATTGCGCTTACTGTACATGAGAGGCTCTGACTCGCTGTAATCCTCAACAAGATAAGTGGCTTTATGATCTAAAAATAATAATTGTATATTGGTATGTACAAGATATTAAAAGAGAGATCATAACCTTTATATGGTCTTTCTAGTCTTAACTTTTGAAACAGCATTCACATAAAATGAACTGGTTCCCCGTACAGCAATAGGTTCCACCACATTGTGCATTCACTTTTTAATAATAGAATATTTGAATATTATTATTTTTTTTTAATTTAAATTCCAATTTAGGTTAACAACAATATATGCAACCTTAGTCTCTGCTCCTTGTCTGTGCAGCCAGACAAGCCTTGACTTCAGCTGGAAGAACTTAAACTCAAGCGCAAATATTGGAGCAGTAAGAATAGGGAGGCCCAGCCAGTGAATCTGGCTGGGTTGAAATGGCAAACTCCAGGGAGCAGGACACAGCATCCAATCAAGGGATCAACCCCCCCCCCCACAGACCACTGTACAGGCTACTATGCCCCAGCAGATCTTCAAAACAAAGGGACAAGAACTGTGAAAAATACAGGAAGTGATGTCCTCATCCATCCTGTTTCCAGTGTTTTCTGTTCTAGATGTGTGTGTTCTCTTTTTTTTTCAAAATATTCTTTTTTGTATGAACAAAAATAAGAAAAAACTTGAAATATGCCCAATCATGTAATTCATTTCTGAAAAAAATAAGGAACTTATAAAGTTTAAAGTGTTTAGAAATATATATTTTTACTACAGTATTTTAGAATAAAAGTGTGTCATAAGAAATAAACTCTGATTAAACAAAAATGTGGTAAAGATAGTCACACTTTTCCCCAACTTTAATTAGAACCTATCTCTACTAATGGGTTCCTTAATATAATCTGATTAAACTAGCTAGAGCAGAATAGCATAAATTTAAATTTCTAGCATTCCAAATTTAAATTAACTTCAAATTATCTTTTATTGAAAGTGATTATGTCAAGATCCTTCTCAGGCGCAGATAAATTAATCGAAGAAGACCCAGAATCTAGATAAAGAGTACACTTGGTTGACAGATTGAAACCAAGTGATGATGGAGGTAACAGCTGAATACATATAAAGCTCCCACTTCAAAATGATTTTGACTTGGCATTGGATTAAATGAGAAATTCACCAATTAGGATAACTCAAAATCCTAGTGCTTATGTACAGTTGCAAAATTTTCACTTTATGAATGCTTTCAACCAATAGCATATTCAATATAAGCAATTTAAACTATTTCACTAAAATGTAACAGTTTGATTATATGTAACTATTGAAGGCTTATAAGCTTTCCAGCCATGACATAACCCTTTCCAGTGTTTCACAGAGTTAAATTATTACTAATTCTGGATTACCTAATATTTACTCAAATAAGCAAGTCTAATACCATGACTAATCATGATCTGTAATACTACACTTTAGGGTACCTGTCCATTTGCATTGATAGTAACGTGTCAGCCCAGATGTTTAAATTAATCCTGCATAATCCTTTAAATAAATATCCTTTAAAATGTTAGAAAAGTGTAATTTGAGCCCAACAGTCCAGAAAATACTGAACCTGGGCCCTGTTGTTACTTTACTTTGGCTGAGGTTCACACTGGCAAGGTGCAGCACACAGCTTGAGATCTTTCATTTTCGGGCTGGGAATGGCAGAAACAAGAACTATGAGTTTGCTGTGAGTTTTGTGAGTGACTACTGTATATTTCTGCATCCATACACCTCCTTGAAAACAGGCTGTCATGTTGCAGAACAATCAGCTTTAGAAAACAAAACTACTTTAAAAGGGACTGCATTCCCCTTTCAGAAAACAATGCAATTCAGTTAAAGCCAGTTTCTTCATTGGTGTCTTTTGTCGAGAATATTGTGAATTCATTTCAACTAAAGAAAAAGTGTGTTCAATGAGAATAAGGCCCATTATGCACACAGGTGGCACTAACTATTGATTCTACAGACAGGTTTGAAAAGGAAGCCCATTTAACATTTATTTCACAGCAAAAAGCCATTTCAGCACAGATTTCTACCTTCGGAATTAGTGTGCCACAAACACAATAGCAACAGGATTAATGACTAAAAGTTAATTTACCTTCCCGGGAGCTCACTCTACTTCATTTTACTGAAAACAACCCAGGGTAAAAAGCCATGAAATGTTCATTAGAACTGAACAAAAAGGAAGCAGAAGCAACACGAAGAAGGCTGACAGTACCAAAATAAACATTACCAAGGATCAGTACGTTTGAAGAAAATTACTTCCATTTCTCAGTTTCTGTGTCTTTAGGCATTGTGAATTCACCACAGTTCCTTTAAAAGGATTTGTAAAACCATATTACCACAAGACACAAGAAGGACTTTAAGGTCATTGCCTACTATCATTTTTAAAACAAGACTGAATTTTCATTGAAATGTATCATTTCCGTCCTCTCCTTGCTAACATTTTATACTCTGCACTTTCAGGACTAAAATTATCATTAGTATTATATCTTGTCTTTTATAATGAAATATATTCATATGAAGTAGCAAGAGAAAATACATTCTTGTTTTGGGATTAAAATTCTAAATTATGTTTAAATAGTTAATACCATTAGGTGAAAATCTTATCAGAGCTCATTTAACAGAATTGCACACCACTGCAGTATCTGTTAAAATTGCTACAGTGTAACTGTTTGCATCACTGGACTTGAGTCTGGGGTAAATGTAAAGGAATACAATAAGTTTTAAAATGTGTTCTGTGTGTCAGGATCTGTAATGGCCTTGACAAATGGCAACATAGGCAAAATGCACAATTGTGGCATTTTGTCCAAGAGGCAAACCAATATACTAAGAAATAGGGGTATACATAAAATATTCGCATAGAATGTGTTTGGCTAGATGAAAACATTTTTCACAGATCTTAAAGTCAATTTTGTTTTTTGTACAATGTTTCCTCTTTTCCCCTTGTGTGATACATTTTCACTACTGAAATAATTTATAACCAATGTCATTACTCCTATAACATGTGCATGTTTCTACAGATATGTTCCCCAAAGGCTCAAACCAATTTAAACAGATCAATGTAAAAGCAAATATATATGCTGATTTTAAATGCGCTACATTTCTCTTCCGCTGATTTTAAATGCTCTACATCTTCCTCTCCTGAGCTTCCAAATACTAAGAAAACACTTTTCTTCAATCACTAATAATTAAATTACAACTTTTTATTTAAAATTCACAGAGCTAATTAATCCTCTTTTTACACCACCCTATCTCTATTTACAGCTGTAATTATATTTTTTAATTTGTGTGTTTTAAACAGAAATAATGCAAATTCCCAGATAAGAACTTTAATTAAGGTCTAACTATAAATATCTAGAACTTAACCACCACAAGCTTAAATTGTTGCCCATAAGCAGGAGGTTTCTAATATCATTCATAGTGAGGACCAAGTCACCCAACAGTCACGATAGTGGTGTGAAGGTGTTGGAACACCTCACAACTTCTACTGCACGTGTCTGGACACATTGAGAGTGGCGTGATGCCCAAAGCCAAGCAAAGTACTGCCTTGCTCGCTTCATTGATGAACCTGCAGGCAGAGTTACAGAGCAACACTGAGCCATTGCTGAGCTTTGGCCTCACATTCCCAAGGATATACCCACACTGAGCTCTGTCTTGTGCGATCTATTTTGCATTTTGGCCACTCCTTCCCAGCGTCATTCCACAGATGGTTTGTACCCTCAAGGAAGACACTTACAAGGTCTTATCAAAGCCTCACTCAGGAACTTGTTCAGTGTTTGTCGTGCTGAATACTACAGTATTGGCAGAACTGCATATAGCACTATGAGTGTTCCCATACATTTGGTGGGACAGAAATGATTCCTCTTCTTTCCCCACAACAGCATTCTTTGTTGTCATATTATAGCCATTTGTAGTTCAGGTGGGTAGCTGCGTCAGCATGCGTAGGCTGCAAAGGAAGAAGTCATAGGTTTATTCCATGCTGAAAAAAAGAAGAAAGAGAACACAACTTTTCGGCCGTGGAGCCTTCTTCAGGTGTCCTTCTTCAAGAGAGGACAGGCTCAGTGACCACAGCCTGGACACAGACACTGGACACAGGCAGACCTGGTTGTCCAGAGAGGACAGGCTCAGTGACCACAGCCTGGACACAGACACTGGACACAGGCAGACCTGGCTGTCCAGAGAGGACAGGCTCAGTGACCACAGTCTGGACAGAAACACTGGACACAGGCAGACCGCACCTGAAGAAGGCTCCACGGCCGAAACGTTGTGTTCTCTTTCTTCTTTTTTTCAGCATGGAATAAACCTATTACTTGTTCCTTTGCATATTATAGCCATGACATGTTGGTTACACCCTTAATATTCTTGATTGTTTAGCATTTTTGCTTAGTTGTAATACAATATGATAAAAAAGCTTTCTGTATTTTCCAGACAACCCCTAATTTTTTTACGAGTTTTAAGATATCTTCTTTAAGAATATTCTGGAATTATTTTGTAACATTGAAGTACTGTAAGCAGTTGTGCTGTTCTTATTATTTACTAATCATTATGACAACTTGAACCCCAAGTTATTTCGAAGCTTCTTGTGTCTCAATTTGCTTAAAAAGCTAAGGGGTCAGTGGATGATGCTGTTAATATTTGCCTCTGCTGTATCCTGCGACATCTGAAATCTGAAGGAACGTATGCGAAACTCCTTCATGTTGATTTGAGCTTTGTATTCAACACCGTCATCCCAGAACTCCACAATAAAGTGTCTCATCCGAATGTCCCTCCTCACCTGCCAGTGGATCATCAACTTCCTAACAAACACTAGATGATATGTGCGGATGGGCTCTTATCTGTCAAACTGCTTGTACAGTATGTGAACATAGGTGCACCTCAAGTCTATGTTATCTCCATATTAGTAATATGGAGATTACTCTACTCGTTGTATTCCAACAACTGTACCTCCAGCAATGCCTTTGTCAAACTACTGAAGTTCACAGAGGACATCACCCTGGTGGATGTTATGAGCAATGAGTATGGTGGAGATTCAAGAATCTAGGAGCAACCATCTCTAACACCCTCAAATGGGATGCAGATGTTATCAGCATCACAAAGAAAGCATGCCAGAGATCGTGTTTCCTGTCCCAACCGAAAAATTCCCCGCCCATTCTCACTCAGTTTTATACAGTCATTATTGAGCATCCTCACAGCTTCCATAACTCTTTGGTTTGGTAACGGGTCTGTCCATTCTAGAGGCACATAGCAAGGCATTTTCCCCCATGCAGAGAGACTCACTGGCAGTCATTTGCCATCTATTGAGGTATAAACTCAGACTAAGAACGCGAGCAGAAAAGATCGTTGATGACTCCTCTCATCCAGGACACCACCTGTTTCAAAAACGCACTGTGAGGAGACACTACAGGTCGATCGAAACCAAAACTGTGTAGCACCTGCACTCCTCCATCCCCCTGACTGTCACCCTGCTTAACCAGAACACATGAATACAGGATGCAGTGTGTATAGAAAGGTGGACCTGTGCATGTTGTTAGTGTGAAATGTATATGTATTGAATTGTTTCTATCTCTTTTTTGCACCAAAACACCAGAGTAAATTCCTTGTACCTGTAATTTACTTGCCAAATAAAGCGATTTGGTTTTGTAAACCAGTCTTTTAAAACCTTCATTAAGGGGCCATTTGTAAAAATGTTGACAACACTCAAAACCGCGGTATGAGAACAGAACAACAGTAAACACCCACCCAAACCGAGGCAACAGGACGATTGACATACCTTTATTGTACATGTTGGTTGGAACTTGAACAACACTGAGGCTAAGGTTGACTGACAAATTATTAAAATGGTCATTTGGCTCCAAAATGAATTCCTTCCCAAGCTCCACATTATTGCCTTCTTCATCTACTTCGTTTATTAATACAGCATTGAAGTAATCATACTGAAAGAAAAAAAAATACAAAGATGTGAAAATGTAAGCAACATTTAACATAGCCTGCAGTTTTGCGCACACAGACAAACGCATGCACACATACGGTATGCACACACACCACAGTGAAGAGGCTGAAAACACCGGTAACAACAGAACATCAGAAGGACAGTCCAGTAGCTACAGTGCCAAAACAAGAGAATGCAAATGCAATGTGCTGTCTAGCTGTAAGAAATGGAAAGTGGGAATAAAAATGCTCTGCTTTAGGAGCAGAAATGGGTCATGTCAGAAATGTTTTTCAGTGGGAGAGCACAGGATACTCTACCATTAAGCTTAATTCACACTTAACATAACATCATTTTAATTAATTCAGCCTCTTCACTGCTCTACTTTAACTGATGTCTGTAAAAACATTTTAAGAACACCCCTAAGCAGAGAATCGTATTCCTATTATTTGTGAAGTTAAATTAAGTTTAACTTTTTTCCCCAAAGACAAAGTTTGGCATCAAGCCAAAACTATATTACTATGCTGTAATTATATAGTATATTTGCAGATTTACATTCTTTGTTGAAGGACTCCTCCAAGGAATCTTGTTTATAGCAATGCAGGAAGTGGCAATACCATTGACAGAGGTATTGATTAATTTCATCCAGCTGAGAACAATGGGCTGCAGACACAGTATGACACAGTAGAAACTCTTCATGGTCTTTGGTTTCTTTCCACTGCTTTTCACTGACACTAAATTGGGTAGGGCTTGACACTTGTTGTAACTTTTAATAAGAGCTTCTACCATGCCAGATTACATTTAAGTCTTTTTTGCTTTCTTTAAAACAACGAGGGTGTTAGAGTTGTTAGCCAGTGACAACATTGCACCAATTAATGCAACAACACAGGAAAATATCATGCAGTTCAAAAAGAAAACAACTTAAACATTAAAAGCTTGATCATTGTGCTTTTGAAAATAAATTTCAATAAAAACAATAGTGCGAGTATAACTTTTTTGTGAGGAGAGGAACATTTTACATATTGTTTAATATCCTAAAGCACTGTTTTAAAAATAATAGTGAAATAAAACATTAGTACAAGCTTAAAAAGTTTACTTTCTGTGACTCTGGGAGAAACTTTACAAGTAAAAGCATGGCACTCTTCCCCTGTTGTTTGGTCATGTGAGCTGTAATGTTGCTACTGTATATGATCAGTCAATCACCACATTGCAAAGCCCATTACTCTCTCCCTTGGCTCATTAAGAGTTTAAGATAATATAAATCTTTTGCATGCAGTCCATTCACTGCACTTTAAAAAAGATTTTCTGACTGACTTAGGAGCAGGTAACCTTCATTAATTCCTGCACGTCTGAGACGCCTGGTTCTTTTATCATTTCTGCAAACCCAGGCAACGCACCAATAAAGCCATCAATTATAGAAAAGACAAGCCACGTATCAGTTCAATTAATCTCAGCTGATTACCTTGGTTATTAAGTGTTTATCAGGAAAAGTGCTGACATCTAAGGTGAAGTAGTTCAGTTAGTAAATTCTGCGCCACTGCTCTGAACCAAAACTTTAGACTACCTTTCTGCATTGTTCTGTAGTTAAACATTTGGTTATTTTTCAGAATCCCATTTCAGAAGTGGTCAGAAGTTTAGCTGATCTCTGTATTGTTTGGAAACGAAATTGAGGACTTCTGGCATAACAGTGCTAAGAGGCAATTATACAGTACACAATACATGTGATAGTCAGTATGTGGAATGGACACATACCCAGGGACATTTCTCACAATGCATTCTGGTTGTAATATATGTGAGAGTTAATTGTAGCATTTATCATAAGTTTTTTTTTTCTTGAAAAACACAGGAAAAACATTTGTTTTAATAACTTGAATAGCTCATCCTTTGTTTTCTGTGGAGCTGAGAAATAATGCGAAAAATATGCATCTTGAGTACACGTTTAGGTTGTCTTCTTCAGGGAAACACATTTCTTTCAAATCAGGTTAAATAACTGTAAAATGTGTATGCAGAGATTATGTGTGCCTCTAAACCTCTGAACATTGTTGTACTGACTTTGAAGCGTCTAGGGACAAATATTTTCCATTACAAATAATTATGGAACACAATGTCAAGTCATTTAAATAGGTGAGGTGATAATTTTATGGAAAATTCTGCTAATGCCAAAGTTAAGCAGAAATTAGCATGAAACATCATGTACGCAAAGTTAGAAAGGGCTATAAATCATTATTAGCAGATGGTAAAGGATCAGACTGATGATTGACAATGGAGTGAAGTGAAAAGCGTTTAAAGGCTCGAAGGCAGAAAATGATCTGTTTGTATATTTGCTCATGTGCACAAAACATTCTAAACCAAATATATAAAAAAAAATAAAAAACAGAGGAAATGTAACAAGCTCTTATTATAAAAAAACTGCTACTGTTTACTGGACAAACTAGCACTTGCTGTCATTACGGAAGAAGAAATCAATGTGGGCTCAAGAACTGGACTGGACAACTGAATCATTTAATTCTTTGTACTGGTAAAAGCACCTCTCTCTTCAAAAACGAACATGACAAAGTTGTATTATTTTTATATTGCCAGACACCTGACCTAAAAAGAGACATAGCAATAACCACTTCTCAATCAGTAATATCTTGCATCCATAGGCAACATACTGCAAAGACAAAGAAATATAGTATGCAGCAGGTACAGTACATAGGTTGTGTAGATGACACATTATGTCAGAGTTATTTATTATTTATCAAACTCACATTCTCTCTCCTACTGTACAGTACATGTTTGCTAGGACCACAAGAACACTACAGAGACCAAATGATAATTGAAGGGAAATGTACAGCCCATTGGTAACTCTGAATTAAAAATGCACCAGGGGGTCTCTAAAACTGCGTTTGTCTTCATGGATCACACAGGCCTTGTTCAAGCATTTAAGAAATCAGGCTGGAAAGAAAAACAGGTACAGAGAAAAATGTGACATCAAAAACTCCCACAAGAAACGGGATGAAGTATTGTTTGCTGAGCACACAGGAGACCAGAAAACTATAAGAGGAACTGACTTCAGTTTAATCCGGTCAGGCAAGGTCACGTTTTAGTATGACCTCAAGTAAGGCAGGCCCCCCTAGCATAAACCCACAGATAAGACAGAACGTATGGTGGATACTGAGACAAATTAATATTTACAAGCCTAAAGCTGTGACTTTGTCAGCACTACATGGAAAAGGTTAAGATTATTTAAAGAGCTGGACCAGAAGAACACTTCAGAGAATGCTATTTAATTAAGGCTTATTATCACTTTAACAGACGGATTTAATGTTGCACTAGGGAAATCATTATCATCGTCGTCTGTTTGCAAGACTGGAAAAAATTGGTGAGAGGTCAAAAAGACTAAAGTGTATGTCATTAATCACAGATCTGTGAATTCAGTTGTGTCTGTATACTACAGAATTTCTACATTTACCATCCTTAAAATCTTTTTTAACCTATTTTAACGAATTTGGTTTATAAATCGGTGCCCTGAAAGCAGCAAATCTACAGTCCTTTAATTTTTCAGTTATCTCTTTCCAGCATCTGTATATTGCGTATCTCCATCCAACTTGTTATCTGTATTTTAAAATCTTCAAATGAAGTCTGTATTATCTTAGACAATCTACATCTCTCAGATCTCTTGCTTAGAAAATTATCTTCGCGGTCAGATGAAACACAAAACAATGGAGTAGACATCCCATGCACTTGAAAATCAGTTTATGTAAAGATATCCAATTTAAAAATGTTAGTGGTACCGACAGGTGTGCCCTGATTTTTTTATGTGCCTCAGAGTAGTTTATTCATCTAATAATCAAACACACAGTCTTTTATAAACACTGATTTGCCACACTGAGATAAACACTACAATTAAGAAAATGTAGCAAGATGCAATATTTCAGTAATGATGGGAAAATAATCAGAGCTTTTCTCTGGAAATCTGAATTTAAAATACTGCCTATTGTTCGTGTGATGGCCTGACAGCACTCAGAAGCTGTAAAACCTACCGATTAAGACTATATGCAGCTCTGAAACCAACTTCTGACACTCAATATTACGCCTGGGTGGTTATTTGGCATTGAAGATGGAAACCAAACTCCAAACTCAGCACTACTGACAAACTTGTCCATTATGCAAAAGACAGAACTCTTTATTGTTTAAGTTATTACATGAGCCTGTGAGACACTTCAATTATTCTTGATGGTCTTCTGATTTTATGGTACATGGTTTTATGCAGTATTTATGACACCTTCCTCTCTCGTCCTTTACTGTACTGTATGTGTACAGTATATACTGGCTGAGGAATAGATGGAGACCAATCTTATGTTGGGGCTGAAGTGAGTTGTAATACAAGTAAACGGCTAAGGAAGAGATGGTTATTTTTCAAACCCTCGAAGAGTAAGATGGATAGGATTGTGCACTGTGCTTTGAGTTCAGGTTTTGTTTTTAAGCTTAAAGCTGAACATTGCTTTCTTCCTAGAAACGTGTTTCTACAAGCCCTCTACTCTACATGTCATCATTCAGATTCCATTAAATGAATACCTCATAAAACTTCCAGATGGCACAGCATGATGGATTCAGTGAAACAGTAGTGAAGTTCATTATCTGTGATGGGATCTTTAATAATACAGCAGTCCCTGCACAAATGGCTCTAGAAATCCATCTTTCCCTTAGAGCCTAGGTTGATTCCTATGGCCACACAATGCCAGTAAAAGCATGGGCCATGTCCTCAGCCAACTGCGACGGTGATTCCCCAAGCAGAAACACAATTGGCTGAGCACCACAGGGGGTGGGGTCATTAGTTGGCCAGTACACACTCATTGTTTGAAACAACCGTAACTCCATGAATGTGAGAGCTATATGTGCCGTTCCGGTGATCAGCCATTAACCCTCCTCATGTGGACATCTTAGCATATCAAAACATGACAGGTGGGTATGATGGAGAAGCATACCCAAAGATCCTTATTATCCGCGGGCAGGAGAAAGGTT